CCCCAAAACCCCAAAACCCCAAAACCCCAAAACCCCAAAACCCCAAAACCCCAATATCCCTTCATAAATTGATATCTAATTTTGATAATTAAGTTATACAATTTACGAAAATAAAGAACTAATTATGGAAGATAGAACTCCAAATTTTGAAAGATTCGTTTCCTTAAAGACGATTGGAAAAGAGGTGAGTCTTCTTGGCTCTCCCAAACTGAGTAGTTCCAGTAGCTCTCTTCTCCAGAGACGCGTAAGGAAGAGAAAGTGTACTAATCTTAGCATTAGTACCACAAAAGATAATAGCAGTGATGAAGAACTTACGCCATCTTTCGATTTAAGACAGCATTATGATATCATCAAGACTCTTGGATGAGGCACATATGCCCAAGTCCAGCTAGGCGAAGACAAGGATACTGGAGACCAGGTTGCTATCAAAAGAAGTAGAGGCACTAACTCAAGAAGTCTATTAAAGAATGAGTATGAAATATTGAACAAAATGTCCAGTAACAAGGTTATCAAAGCCATTTCATATCATGAGAATGAATCAAAGAATGAGTCATACCTCATTATGGAATATTTTGAAGGCAAGAGCCTCAACGAATTCATTGATCAAAAAGGAGTCTTAAATGAGAAAGAAAATAGGTTTATTTTCAGCCAAATTCTATCTGCGGTCCACACTTTGCATGAGCTTGGTATCGCTCATAGAGATATCAAACCAGAAAATATTTTGATAAATGAAGATCTTAAAGTCAAGCTGATAGACTTTAACATCAGTAAGCTCTTTAAGCCAAAAAGTGCTCAGGATTTTAACCCCAAGTTCAAATCAACTTTTTATACCCAGATAAGTAGCCCTCTCTATGCTGCTCCAGAGCTCCAAAACTCAGTAGGATACACTGAAAGTGTAGATATCTGGGGTCTTGGGATTGTGTTATTCACTTTGCTTTGTGGGACACTACAAACTCAGGAACTTAGCAACGATGTTGAGGAAAAATTACATAACCTCCATTCAATCATAAACCTCAAAATCGAAGAATCAAAGTGTAATGAGTTTTTATTAAGTCTTCTATCAGAATTCCCTGAAGATAGGCCTACTATTTCACAATGACTTAGTTCATCATGGGCTAAAGAGGGCTCATCTTAATTGTAATACTAACTTAATCTCTAAAATATGTTATGAAAAATTCATAGTTTCTATAATAGCCTTCTCACATTTCCTGTTGTACTGCTTGAAACTGAATTCATGATTGTTGACTGCATACTTTTATTTATTTCGTAAATATCCGATCAAGTGTTACTAATTCATAAGAACAAATAAGTGGTCTTAACTAGCTTCATTTTAGACTCTTTATTAATATTTTGAATAACTAATATACGCGAAAATACTTGCACAATAAAATATCATCAAAGTAAACTTTTAGAAGCAAATCCAGATGTAAAGAAATATTCAATGGAGTTCAGTAGACTGTCCAAACTTAAAAACTGTATGGAAAATATTTATGAAGGCTTTTGATAGAATATGACTTAAAACTCCTTTATTGGCCAATTAGAGTTAGATGCGAGCTTGTAATTGAAAGAATTTAGAGAAGTAAAATAGAGTTAAAAATTTATATAATAAATAAGGTGTAATTTCTTGGAAGTTTAAACTCTAGTACCACCAGAAAATTCTGAATTTTTGAAGAACAATTATTTAAATGTAATAATCCTAGCAAAATCATCAAAAAGATGTCTATATTTCATAACTTCCTTGACTATAGCCCTTAACCCCAAAATTAGTACCATTAACCTTTTCCTAAATGGTTAAAATCTCTTATGCTAAAACTATTGCTTCTTGCGACAACTTGGGAGGTTTCTGGTGAGTCTTGGCTATCTTCCACAAAACCTCAAATGTGGTGCGAATAAGCTTTAGTAAATTTCAATGATGTATTCGCGAAATGGGGTTTTGGGGTTTTGGGGTTTTGGGG